CCACCTTTTCGTGTAAATACATGCCAAATAAATTTAGGAAGAAGAAAAAACATTGCCATGCCAAGTAGAATAAATGGTGTCCATTGATAATAAGACCTATGATCAATAGTAAATTATGTACATTTTTTTTTAATTTCGAAAATGACTTACATATGGTAAGGTCTAGGCTTTGATCGATCAGGAATTGTAACTAAAAAATAAAGAAGAATGATGTAAAGTATAACATTTAACTAATAGAAATTCGTATGTAAACAAAAGTGATATATGTTTTAGTATTGTAGTAATGTGTTCAATACTAGAGGGTGAGTTTTGCTTTAATATTTAATTGTTTATTATCATTGTATAAATCATGTGCTTTTTAAAGCATTATATTCCTTTAAGTATGTTTGTTTGCTTAGATCAAAGTAACCTTTTTTCTTATACTTATAGACTGTATTTGTTGTGCTCCGAAGAAAATGAGATATAAGTTAAATAATTTAGCATATACGTTTTTTTAAAAATGTATGCCTATTAGAACTATTTCACATACTTTCTTCAGTTGGTAGATAATAGGATCCTTTTAACCAACAAATACTGTTTGTATAAGCATTATGTGTACCGGAAAATTGAGCTATGATAGAAATAGAAAGTTAATAATCTTTCAAATAATATATTTCGAAAGGCTTGCCTGGTGTCCAACAATTAATTGGATCTCCTACATAAGTCTTCCCCGTAATTATAAAAATACACAACATTAACACCATAACTGTATATCGACTATTAAGACGATCAATTAAATCATCATCTTCAAAATGATTTTGCTTTCGTCCATAACGATCTTCAGATATGAGGATCTTGTCCATATTGAGAACAATACTCAATCGTAAATTATATCCAGCAGACTTTCTTGAATATGTATGTTTATGTGAATCAAAGTAGTTTTTATTATTTCATTTTATTTTCATCACCATGGCATTCGTTATTTTAAGATTTTTTTTTATATATGTCTCTGTTGCTCTCTTTCGGTTCCTTTCTCTCTGTCTCTCTCTCTCAGTCGTGTTCTTTTGCTTTCGTTTGTCCATCAGCACATCAAGGAGA